GACAGATATTAACGCAACGCCTAAAGAATGAGGCGGTAAAAAGAGCATTCAGCGCTGCTGAATTATGCCGTGTCTTTAAAACCATCCGTATTTTGCGTTTAAGAGTTAAAGATAAACTGCCTAATTTTGCATCTCCTAAGTGTATCTGCCGGTTTGACTGTTCTTGTGGAACCAGTTGAATAGACCGTACAACTAGGCGTGTTTGTCGCAGAATTTCGGGACACCATCCTGCGTGGTCAGCTAAAGGACAAACAAAATCAATTCGTGGCTCTATTCCATTTCATCCCATGAGCATGGTCGGCGAGCATACTAACCGCTGTGCCACCGACGCACTTCTCTCTAAGTATACTTATTTAAATTTGGAAATGTTTTATAGTAATCGTCTACATGAAACCTATTAAACCCAGAACCTTCTTCACATCAGAAATACTTTAAAAGGCCTAAAGACGTCAACAAGATGTCCTGTATCTGCGGGATATTGTTGAAAACTTTCTTTTCTTTGAGGCATAGTTTTTTTTTATTCATTTTGAAAATTCTCTTATAGTTATTGTGATTTTGGGTAGTTTGTGATTGATGAGAACACTTATGGAATCAAATGGTAATGTTATTATCTAGAAATCTAACCTATATTGCTTTGTATGACCAATAAGATACTTTAGAGTGTAATAAGTACTGAATAATCATTTGCCTCATTGAATGACATAATATCTGGGCTACATTTTAATTTTAATTTGATAAATAGTTTATAACTAAAGAGCTTACATATCAGTCTAATTACCATCCCATGTTATGGATGCACATATTGCCCCAATTTCAATTCACATTGTATCTTAATTCAATTTCTCATCAGGATACTGAAGTCAATAATAAGGATTCTGTAAGGAGTTTGGTAAAACTGGGTCAACTTCATTACAGACATGCATCAACTAGAGAGTCATGGAAAACCATGGAGGACCTCTCAGTTGTGTTTATCCTGGTTTGGGACTGTCTGGCAATACACAGCAATAACCGTATTGGGATTCCAGCCTTGTGGCCGAATAATTCATGGGCGAATCTCAGCAAATTAAGCATCCTGCGATAGATTCCTGGTAGGGTTGTTGGTTTAAAATTTTGAGAAGTCAGAAACTAAGACGATAAACATGTCCAGTGCTACATGATCTTCAGTACTTGTCTACTTGATGTCATTTCGTCACGAAATCTGCAGTGAAATCGATATGCATAGTATCTTCCTTGCGAAACTAGAGAATGGGCCTTTGAAAGATGTGATTGATGAACTTGAACTCTACCATCAGTATATGGATGATACATTTTTGATTGTTAAAAATGAGGATAAAGCAAAGAATATCCTGGATAAATTTGACGAGGTTCATCCTGCAATAAATTTTGCCATTGAGAAAGAAAAAGACTCTAGTATTTGTTTCCTAGACGTCCTTATGACTAGGAAAGAAGACGGTAAAATACGAAAAAGTGTATTTAGAAAACCTACATCAACTGGTCAGTATACTCATTTTCTCAGCTTCGTGCCTTTGAAATACAAATTCAATCTAATGAAGTGCTTGGTCCATAGAACAAGAGAAATCTGCCTTGATGAATGTCATGATAAAGACCTTGATAGTGGTATTAGATGGTTGGAGGAAATCTTGAGGAAGCCTTGGACCTAGGTTTCGTGTTAGTTGGCACTCATCAACAAGGCGTATATGCAGCCTCAAAGGAATTTATGTCCCTTCTGAGATTCAAACCCGCGTCACCCAGTGCTGAAGGCAGAGACGACTGCCTCCAACCATCTAATAACAACATCTCACAGTGCACCGTAATGGTGAGCTACCTAGAATGGTGGCCACAATGCACGCTTGGCTGATAAAATTCAGTTTGCAGCGAAGATAAGAATAGACATATTGACTAGTGTCCAATCAAGAGCTTGATATTATTAAACAGGTGCGGAGTGAGGACAGTTATCCAGAAAAAGTTATCGATAAGAATACGAGAATGAAAAATCAAGACAGGCCAAAGTACCAACAGTTCCGAAAAAGGCTTTATTCTTACAACTTCGGTTCTTCGGGGGTAACATCAGACAGATATTAACGCAACGCCTAAAGAATGAGGCGGTAAAAAGAGCATTCAGCGCTGCTGAATTATGCCGTGTCTTTAAAACCATCCGTATTTTGCGTTTAAGAGTTAAAGATAAACTGCCTAATTTTGCATCTCCTAAGTGTATCTGCCGGTTTGACTGTTCTTGTGGAACCAGTTGAATAGACCGTACAACTAGGCGTGTTTGTCGCAGAATTTCGGGACACCATCCTGCGTGGTCAGCTAAAGGACAAACAAAATCAATTCGTGGCTCTATTCCATTTCATCCCATGAACACAACACAAGACTGATGTAAATGAGGCTTTCAAAGCCATCTACCTCATACCAACTAATCTTAACCTTACCTTGAGCTCATCTACTCAGGCTGCTGGGATCCACATTAAGAAACCTAACTTATGTATCCATAACAAGAAGTAGGTTCAGACAGTGTCTTTAATTTTATTCGATATTCTATTTATTATTATATTGTCATGCTTATTATGACTTAAGAGTCTTTCTTGAACTGTAAATTCATTGATTTTAACAAATCGACAGTATTTAAAAACACCGATATTGTTAATGACGACTACACTAGAATGTTCCATATATAAACATAACTGTAGAGCCAGAAAAGGAAATTATTTTCTCATATCTAACTGTTGTTCAGACAAGGAACATATACATATTTTGATAAACATCTGACAAGATATTGAATTGAATTTTTGATTTTCCCGTCAATTGATTGGACCGAAGTGCTCGGTCTCAGGTTGACATGTCGGCTTCTTGTGCAGATGCTTCGACGATGTCTGGGCATTTAGTTAGTATTAAATTGGTGGATGCTGACGAGTCCCAAATAGGACGAAATGTGCATCCTGGATTCCACTGCTAGTCACCATCCACCAATTTAATACTAACTAAATGCCCAGACATCGTCGAAGCATCTGCACAAGAAGCCGACATGTCAACCTGAGACCGAGCACTTCGGTCCAATCAATCGACGGGAAAATCAAAAATTCAATTCAATGATAATATGACCCGTTGCACAAGAGGTGGCTCTCGCGGCCCAAGTGGTCTAGTGGATAACGCTTTGGCGTTTGAAACTATGAGTACTGGGTTCGAGCCTCGGTGGGAACGTCATCACTCACTGAGAAATGCAGGTACACCCAGATGACGAGCCCCAAATAGGACGAAATGCGCGTCCTGGATTCCACTGCTAGTCACCATCCACCAATTTAATACTATCTGACAAGATAATTTAAAAAATTTATATCTACTTTTAATCTTAAACAGTTTAATATTTCAGAATATCACATTGTTGCTAGACAAATCAGTGATATGTAGTGCTTTCGAGTCTTGGTAAGAACACAAGCGATCTACTGTGTGCAGACGTATTCAGTTGACGAAACTTGAGCCCCTGATTTCACTGCTAGCTACTACTAATCAATGAAATAACATGAAATGTTTACATGTTGCACTGAATACTAGTGTAGTGACAGACTTTGCAGTAAAAATTCGATTCTAAGATGGATTTAATCATACATGAGTGTTTCGAAACTAAAACTCTAACTTTTGAGGTGAATCTAGTCGAAGAATTTTCTTACTGGTAGTAAAAAAGCAACACAGGCTAATTTTATAGTGCATAATATCCATCACCTTAAAATGATATTTGAACAAAAATATTAAAAAATATATTACTTAAACCTGGGAGTACTGGACAGCTGTTTCGTCCTAGTTTGGGACTCCTCCCAGGTTTTCCAGTGGTTCTCTAACTGATGTCAGCTCATGATCAAATCCTCCATGCAATCAAACAAAATCCCTACAACAAACCAATACTTAAAAAATATTACTTAAACTAAAATTAAGTAGTAATACGCTGAAATCAATTCAAACCCCCATATAATCGCATGATCTAAATATTAACCCCCAGCTCATTGATGGCTACTGGATGGGTCTCCTGAAGGTACAGTAAAGTTCATTATGTCAAGGTGAAGGGGATGTTCATCGAAGATACTGATTGGGGTACCGCTATTTCACGAACTGATAGAAACAGAAACGGGTCACTGAATTTTAGCCCAAACGGATGAATGATTACCAGACTTGACCTCGTAACCTGAAGGTCGTGGGTTTGATTCCTGATAGTGTCGTTGTTGTGCCTTTCTGAGGAGTCCCAAACTAGGTTGAAACACTTCTGTGGTGCTCCCTAGTTTTCAATGACCTCTGTAACTTATATTAATTCTTGACGAAATCTGCTTTGGAATAAATTCAAATCCCTGCTAAGTCCTATGGTCTAGATAATACAACTGACAGAAAACTGTTAACTTTGTGAAATTCACCCCTTTCATTAAACTGGCCATAGTAATGTTTCCGCATTTCCTTATGAAAAAACATTTATTTCTCCTATACTTCTCCTACGCAACCAACCAATCGCTGCGCTGTTTATTTTTCTACTTCGCCCACCTGATTGGTTCTTTTATCTACCAATAATATTAAGGTTATTTTAGCTATTGCAGGGAAAAAGACCATATTTATCTGAATTCGAGAAAATTTATTATTTCTTGTTGTATTTATAAAATTCATGACAAAAATAGTAAATATTTACAAAATATTGATTGTTTGTTTTAAAAATCTTCTTCTGATAATAGTGACTTTTATATACAGATCTTTATGATAGGAGAGGAATCTTGACTATATGTACTCGTTTATAATTAGTTCTATTTCATCTAAACTTTATCAAATACGTAAGAATAATGGAAAAGATAAGTATCCCTCTAAGAAAATTAAATAAGAGATATCAGCTAGCTGGTATGTGATCATAAAATTTGAGATATTCTTTGTACATAATTTCCACACTCATATTTACATAGTGACAATAAATAGCGGGAAGGAAAGGCGTGAAGACGAAGACGTCAACGAAAGCAAAACAAATAACAGAACTAGATCATTATTTGTTTACACTGGCTAGTATCACTTGAGCTATCGGTTCGTGTACTTCTTGAGTCGGAACTACTGTTCAAATAGAATGGTATAGGAGCAATATACCCAAATCCTGGATTACTATTGTTATTCATGTTGTCAATATTTGTACTGTTTTCCTCTGTTGCTCTCAATAGCCTACTTGTTGGTGTATCATAAAGTTGATTATTAGTAGATCGATACAGTTTATTCATTGTCTTTGATGTCATTGTTGAGACTGGAGTACTTGATGACATAAATATTGACGGTGTTAAAGATGTTTGATCGATAGGTGAAAAACTATCACTGTTGTTGTTGTTGTTGTTATTATTAATGTCATTATTAGTAGTATTAGGTAATTCATTGAAATAATATTGATTATTTGGTGTGGTGGTTAAATGGTAACCAGCTAAATTCAGTTTATGCATATATGTAGAATAATAAGAATTATGTAAATATTGATTTGCTGGTTGATAATAATTCGAAATATCTTCATTATTATGATGATTATTGCCAGTGCCATTGACATTAACAACAGGATCACAATTATCAGACCAACCACTAAGATTAGTGTTTCCCTCTTGTATATTATTCAATATAGATGATTGTAATTCTTTTAATGAATCATTTGATGAAAGTAACTTCTTTGAGGATATCTCATCAACTCCACTATGTAGTGTACGTATATCATTATTACTAAATAGACTTGAATTACCTAAACCACATGTTGGTGGAGATGGTGTCGACCAAGAGGCATTTAAACCACATGATGTTGACTCGCTATTTGTACCACATGTATTACTGTTATTATTAATATTATTATAAGTTGTATTCATATTGGTAGTGCTATTATTATTATTATTATTGTTAGCTGGTAGACTTGAATTCATCATTAATTGATTCATAAAATGGTGTCCGTACGCTGATGCTGACGGTGATGTTGATAACATTGATGTAGTTGTGGTAGTAGATGCGGTGAAGTTGAATGGTGCTAAACTCACATGTTTCGATTGATAATAATCAATATCGTTAACTTCTACGATATCTTGAGGATTATTATAAACAAATGTATCATATCGATTTGTTGATTTATTGGTTTTATAATCAATAACTGATGGAAATATGCTTGATTTTATTCCCATTGTTGTTGGTGGTGTTGTTGAAGGAAGATTCAATTTGTTCCCAGATAATTCTAAACTTGTATTATATTGATATAAATTATGATTATCATATGATTGATTCAGGATTGTTGGAGGTGTTATTGTTGTTGTTATTGGGTTTATTTTTGTCTCTAATGGCCCAGGTGTTGATATTAAAGATGGTGGTGATGTTATGGAGGGATTTTTAGTGGTTTCTAATAAATTATTCGAGCTTATAGGGAATTGTGGTGATTTTATTGTTGGCATTGGTGTTGCTGGTGTTATTGCCATAGGTGATGGTGGTGTTGTTTTCAGCGTCGTTGAAATATTTGAATATTCATTCGTTTCAAATGGATTTGAACCTGGGAATATTGGTTCTTTCTTCATATTAACGTCAGAGTAGGAGTGATCCAATGAAGTCGGTAAATTGGAGTCTGTAGATTCCGAGTGAAAAAGTAACAAAACGATTATTAGTTATTTTCATTTTTAAGAAAGAAAAAAGATTTTAATTATTGCTTAGTTTAAATAAAGATGTGCGTCGGTAGCATAACGGTTAGGACGCTCGCCCGCCATGCACATGGTCCGTGGTTCCATCCCCGGCCGACGCACTCCTTCACGTCGCTAAGCCAGAAATAATGCTGACAAAGAGGAAAGGTTGGGCATGAGGCTAGCAACTTCAAGCCACTAGCTTGGGGCCCTATATTCCACCGGGGAACTTGAAGGAAAGAAGTGAGTTAAAATAAAGATAGAAAAGTCCGAATTCTACCCACATGCTAGACAAAAAAATTGTATTTTTGAAGGCTTACAAATAAGAAACTCATTTGTGAATGATCAGCTCATTTACTCTATCACGGTTAGTTATTATATATTGAATGACATTATCACGGATTGATTTTAAGGTAGGTTTTGATATGAACCCCTGGAAACCATAGAACACTTAATGGTCAGCTGTTTCTCCTCACTTTGGGATTCTTCAAAAGGGGGACTTATAACCCTATTCTGGATCTGACTAAAGACAACTGGATCATGAGATGGCAAAATTGTTGCTCTGGAGTTTAAATCTAACAGTTCATGAATTCTAACTTCTTTTATTTCAAGATATAGAGCCACAGCCCGTTCACTGTCATCAGTGAATATCTTTCTACAAATCGAACGTGATGGACTCTCACTGATCATAATTTGTGAACTAGAACTCCAGAGAGTTCATCGTGTCTATAGTCAGTTACTGACTGGTTAACACTGGGTTGATTTTCATTTGTTGAGGTTGTGAAGATTCGTCTAGTTCCAAGGCAGATTTTATCACAATAAAAGAAAATTGACTATCTACGGGATTGAATTATTATGAAAACAGACTTCATCATGACTCTGCTTTTGGCAGTTTAAAAAATAATAATGGTTATTGTGTGATACTCACTTTGTCCATTGATTTTTCTTTTATAATTTGTTTGTGAAAATTGACTTATTTCTTGATTTTGACATCCTATTCTGGACGTTTTGTTTGAATATACACTACAATCGGTTGAATGAAGTCTCGTATTCACTTCATTTTGTTGTCCATGTTCAAATGTTTTCACACTTTTCATATTAGTTAAACGTGGAATTTTTCGACAAACTTGTTCTTCTACATGTCCTTGTTGTTGTTGTTGCTGCTGTTGTTGTTGTAGTTGCTGTTTACGACGTCTAGCTGCTGTATCACGAACTGGCTTTAAATCTGGCCGAATATGATCATGTGTACCTTTAGCTTGAAAATAGATTGTATCACCGTGTTCACGCCAAAAATGTGTCACTGGATAACCACCATGTCCATGACACGATTGAATGTATATACGTCCATTACAATTTGGCATACAACATGGTCGACCTATACAGACGATAAAAAAAAATAAACAGTAACATAAATTAATAGATTATTTATACTAGGAAATGTTTAAAAGGTATATATTCACTCATTAAATGAGTAATATTCACTGTTTCATTTCTAACTTCTGTCAGTTTGCGATACAGCTTCACGATAAACCATCCCACTTGTTAGATGCCAGCGATCCCAATCTCTCACTAGAACTACTAAAAGCCTGACCTACAGTCAGTCACTAACGAGCTGTTGATTGACTTTCTCTTTCAAGCTTGATGACAAATTGAATTCCGTTAGAGAACCACTGAAAACTACTACAGAGTACTGAAAAGTTGTTTCGTCCCTGTTTGAGACTCTTCAATACTATGCATCTATGAGGTCATCAGGCTATATAGTGAGCTTATTGACCAATCAGCCACTGGAACAGAATCCAATGGCCTATCGATTGCATCTACTACCAGTGGGCTGGCCATTGGGTCCCAGTAGCTTAATGGCATACGAGCTCGCTAGCCTTGTAACCAGAAAGTCCTGGGTTCGAACCCAGGTGGGTGCGTACTGCTATGAATAAGAGTCCCAAACTAGGCTGACGAAACAGCTGTCCAATACTCCCAGGTTTTTCAGTGGTTTTCTAACCAATGTCAGTTCATGATGAAATCCTGTGACCAATCCAATTCCTACAAGCCAACACTTGAATAATAATACATTTGATGATTACTCAGTTAATTCATATCAATCTTGTAAAATCAATAAAAGATGGAACTTTCAGTTATTTGATACACCTCAGCTAAACTTTCTTTTTATCACCGCTACACATACACACACGCACACACATACACTAGACATATTTGTTCTTATGTATGTATGTATGTAGGGATCTGCGTGTACGTGTTTGCTTTTGTCGACATACATGTGTAACAAGTCAACCGTACTCAAACTATCTAATATACATATGGTCATCTCTCAATTAACAATTATAATATCTATTATTATTATTATTATGACTATAGCCATAATTATTTCGTAAATATCAAAAATATTGAAACGTTGAAAACATGTGCTTAAATGATGTTTTAAATAGACTTTAAAACTATAAGGTGTGAAAGTATTTTTATGTCCTGTTTTATTTCCTTTATATATATATATACGCTAAATTCAAAGGGCAGTTTTCTTTTTACATAATTGATATCAGTAATTTTATTGTCTATGATCTGGTTTGATAGCAGATATAAATACGAATGAAAGCATACCTACATACATATATGTATAACACCTCCTCTCGCCCCCCCGCCCCCCAAAAGTAACACATGAGCATATGTTCATCTTTGATTATTCTGAATAGATTCTGCTTTTAGATTAACCAACTGATTCATGAATTTATTTATGATCATAGTAGAAAGAAGTTTATACTGTGAATATCAATAAGTCTTACTGACTTGTAAAACAGAAACATTGATGAAATCACGTTAAATAAACTTCCTCCATTTTTTAGAATTGCATGTAACAAGATCAATGAATGTCACTGTACTTGTTACTACTAATTAGATAGGTTGTCTAGAGAGAGAGAGAGAAAGGAAGAAAGCTGACATGTAACCGCAGAATTTGCATTTAAGTCAACTGTTATCTTGGCATGAGAGATGGCTCTATTGGTTTAGTCGCCTAGAGAATAACGCTTCGGCTCTTGGTTTCAAGTCCCAGTAGGAAAATCATCAGTCACTGAAGATGCAGATATATAAAGCGCTGATGGGTTTCAAGCAGGATGAAATACGTGACATATCACCATTGACCAAATAACATTAAACTAACCTCAATACATCTTTCAAGACTTGCCTACTAAGAGTAGAAATATCAACGAAGACAATCGATGAGCATTGTTAAGTGAATTCTACTTTACTTTTATCCCTCTAACAATCTGAGATAATTCTGGCATAGTAAAGTGACATTAAGTCGTTCAGTTCAATCTTAGTAGTTAATATCCAATGGTTTAGCTACATGCTGTTTGCATATTAACAACGTAGGTTCTTAATTTAAGTTCAGCCAGAGATTATTTAATATATTATTATTATTACTATTATTATTTTACTTCTTTACGGCGATCGAGACCCTGGCCAATTTGGTGGGCGTTTAACCTCTGAACCACCGATGCATTTCATCTAGAGGACTCTACTGTTTTCACATGGATCAAAAAATTACAGCTAATATAAATTTTTAGTTACAAAAATAAGAGAGAGAGAGAACTTCAACTCACCTTCTTGTCGTCTTCTTGCTTTATCGCATATAGCTGGTCGCATAGCTAATGTACACTGTTTCGATGTGCATAACAGAACGCCTAAACACGACTTTTTCAATATTTGTGAATTATGATTATTTGTATTACGCATTGCCCAACCACTAGCATGACGTTTAGCACCTTCTGATTGTGACTTCTTATAAGCATAACGACAATGACCTTGTGGCCACATTGTAAATGTATCAAATTGACGAATCTAATAAATAAGCAGAAGAAAAGAAGAAAATTAGAATTGAGATATTATATTTTACATATTATACTACTAATTATCACAAAAACCACATTACCTGATTATAGGCAATAAGTTAGCCGATTATATCAAATAAAATGTGTATGTTTAACAACAGTGAAAGAGACTCTCGATTAATTTACAACTTAGTCAAGTCTGCTCGACGACAGGTTCAACTGTTATGGTTATGTTTCGAGGTTTTACTGGGAAACTCAATCGACCTCATGCGGTCATTTGTTGATATTGAGTCAAACCAGTCAATTTAAATATTATGAGTCATACAGGTTATTTCTAATAGGTTTATACAGACATTAAGAGTAATTCAGTTCTAATGATTACTCCCTAGGATGTGTCTTATATCATACTATGTAGCGCAGCATAGACAACAACAACAACCTAGAAGACTCAATATTGGACTTCACTGCATGTTAATGTTGCATAGATAAAGGGAATTTTGAGAAAACCCTACATCCTCAATATCAGAAGTCTAAACAATAACGACAAATACACCCTAAGATATACATAAAGTGATAGACGAAATTTGTAAATCTATCGGTCGAATTTCTTCTTAATGAACTTAATGCTGAAGATATCACTTACACTGATGGTTAAAACCCCCGTGTTAAAAAATCTCAATAGATAACCGAATGATAAGTGGTCAAAGTCTTAGACTAATTAACATGAAATTAATATAGACCCTCACAAAACTGTACAAAATCGTTTCAAACTAATATTTATACAGTTGAGATAGATATGCACCCACGATCCAATGGGAGAATGCTCGCCAAACACTTATGGCCTGTGATCCTTGTTCGATTCCCAGCCGACACACTTCTAAACCTAGCTTAACCGTAAGTAAGCTTAGTAAAGAGAGAAAGTTAGGTGTGATGCAAGCAGCACTACCCTGTAAAAACAACACCACTGTTAGTAAAACTTTAAAACTCAAAGTTTGGAGCCCTATATTCTACTCGGAACACAGAATGAATGAAAAAAACACATAAGATGCATAAACGTAAAATATCAAAGATAAAATAGCCAGGAACAATAACAAACAGACCTTAATCGTTAAACCATTTATCCTACCGCCTTGTCTATCTACTAAACTGTGTCATTACTTCAATATTACCAAAGATTACGCCTTGTAATAACATTATTATTAACAGTAATGATAAAAAGTATCTTATTAACAGAAATAACTTACTTTAGGCAATTTGGGATCATTCACATCCCATTGTGATATACTTGTATCTGTATTCAACAATAAAGCATTGCATAAATTATTAGCATTGTTCAACGTACATTCTTGTTTCTCATTTGATATAGGCAATGAATACATTACATCATTTGCTTTACATATGTATGGAGTAGTTACTTCTTCAGGTAAAGTAAACGGACTTGTCTTATATTCATCAATGATATTCTTTGGATTGATATTGGTTGACAAGGCGGAATTGCTAGTATAAGGAGGGAGATGTTGTGGAGGAATTCTCTGTTGTTGTTGTTGCTGCTGCTGTTGCAGATGATGATGGTTTGCATAAACTTGGTCCTTATCGATCTCTTTTGGATAAAAGTGTTCAAAGGTTGACACTGTCTGATATTCTTGATGTTGATGATGAAGGTGAGTTTCAGACATGAAACTACTGAGTGGATAACCCGATGCAATAGTACTTGGTGCAGTTGTCGTATATGACACAGGAAAGGTTGATGCATTTTCATAAATATGCTGGTGTTGTGCAACTGGATATGGGTAATTCGGGCTTGGAATTTGATGCTTAGCATCAGTCAACTGATCACGCAAGTAAACATCACGGAAGTAGGCAGTGTCTGCGAAGCCTTGACCAGTTATACTGGTTGCTTCACAAACTTCCATAATCAGGGTATGTATGAAAGTTGAACAAAACTTCTTAAAGGAAAACTGATGGTCCCGTAACTTCAACAACTGTTTATATATGATGCGGGTGACACCCGCTTTTTTATTCTATTGGTTCGTAAATCGACCAATAAGAGTTTCAATAAAATTCCTTTATCCGAAACGCTAATAATGTATTAACCAATGAATTAATTTTATTCTCATAATAATTTAATAAAGCGGGCCAATAGGAATTACAGACGGGAAGTAAAAACATTTCACACCAACAGTCACTATGCTAGATAGACTATTTCTTTATTTTCGTTTTAATTAAACCCCGCATTAACTGCATGAGGTTTATTGTCTGTAAATCAACATTAATAGTTTCAATTTAGACAGTTATACCAGAGAGTTACAGGAAGATTAAATATCTACTAGGCATCACGCATCCTTGTAAAATTTGGTTTTTAAGTCGAATCAATCATATTTTGTAAGTAAATAAATGTAGACAGAGTCGGAGCGTTGCATGTGTCTATCTGAAATTATTTTGCGAAAACACAGCATTCAAGGGCGCTAAATTTGAATTTAAACTCCCAGACAAATTGTAATTTGTAAACTAGGAACCAAATGAAACAAATTACGGCAAAAGCTGAGGACTAGACACCTAAATTCTACATAAGTTTGTTTGTTAGATAGATCACACAGTGAAACACTACTATTCAATGAAGTTTCGAATACCATCTGCCGTTTACGTAACTCTACAACTCTGATAATTTATTTTCATATCTTTAGTTCTCCTACTTCACTTATCATACTCTCAGTAGTATTTATCAGATGTTTGGAATAAGTTTTGAATAATCAATAATAATATTCAGATGTTCAACTCAAAAAGGACTGACTGGTTTCAGATTAACTAACTAACTCATTGAGCAATGAGCAGTTTTTTTCGTCCTAAACTATACCTGTTTATCAGTACACATCTATGACCTTCAGATTAAGACGCAATCACTTTTATCATTGAAACTCTCGGTTAGAGTTTATTGGTCTTTGAATTTTAACTACTATCGATTCACGATACAGTACCCGTGGTTACCAGGAAAATCGACAGTGAAACATTCAAATATCACAGGAATGTTTTACAGTTTTCATCTACCAAAAGGCAGAATGCATTCAATGATTGGTAGCTGAAGATGCTAATCGAAAAGCGTCGAGATATTCAAGATAGTTTCTGTTTACATTCATGAGATGATAACTGTGTCAAGTAAAACAGGAGTCGTAATGTTTAATATATCACATTTTTCACCAAACATACATGAATTATTCTAGATCATAGTAATGAGTATTTTCTCGTTGAACTGTGAGTCGGCAGGTCAGCGATAGAACTCTTGCCACCCACACATGTGGTTCGGGGATCGATCGGTGATCGACACATTCCTCAACCTAGCTAAGTCGCTAGTAAAGCTAGTAAAGAAGGAATAGACAAGGACACGCTACTACCGAAACTTTAAAGCCCTAGGCTGAAACCCTATGTTCTATATGGAACGTAAAGAAATAAAATGAATAATAATAATAATAATCTTATTGAAATGGCAATGATGATTAAAAACTGTTGGTAAGCTCTTGGATGAAATTATCTGTGCAGTTATAATTGTTATGAGTAGTAGTTGAGAGGATCTTGATGCACATGATTTTATAGAAGTGTTGCTCACTAACAGAACCTAAACTAAGTGCTTTATTGTATTCCAACATTTAGGTGAACGCTAAGTAGATTTTAATGCACGAATATCAGATAGATATCTAACAAATGACTTTGGCATTCATTCCTTTCAAAATGAAATGTTTTCACAATCTGTGTTTGCTTTAGTGGAAAAAATACTTCGTGTTGTGTGCACAAATTCATAAAAATGTTCATTCTGTTACTATTACTACTGTCAGTAATATTATTATTACTGTAATACATGGGAAAGAGTCGGCATCTACCTTAATCCATGCTGTTTCAAGGTTTCATTCCAAAAGATAACCTCTTAAGTGAAATTTCTGTCCCGAATACTGAAAGTATTCTGTCTGGATATGAGAACTGATAAACTGTGCGATGCATTACAATGATATTCTCATTTGTCTATAAATTACAGGCAGGAGGTTAGAGTGATAATACTGTTCTTGTTCTGTAACTTATGTTTACCTATAAAACAGAATTCTCAGCATCATTTCTCGTAAAATATTTACTCCCTATAGAGAATCTTCTGGAGGTTATATAAGTTACTGAAAGTCAAACTCACCACACTTTCGTTTGAGTAAACTTGTATGAGTAAAACAGAGGAGGTCGATTATGAATTGGATTCTCTTAGGCTGTTAGTCTTTTATTACGTGTCTAGAGGAATGTTGTAATTAGATCAGATGATACGACTGACTGTTTTTTTTTAAAGGTCATATATCACAACTGGAATATCTACTGTGACCTTTGTCGTACCATCAGCAAAAATATCCCACGATGGCTTTTATATTATATTTTATTCCTTTACATTCCACGTGAAACATAGGGCTTCAAGCTAGAGCTTTGATGTTCCAGTAGCAGTGGTGTTCATTTCTACAAGATGGATTTGCTAGTCTCACGTCCAACCTTCCCTTTCTATCTGTCTTATTAGCGACTTAGCGAGTGCGTCAGCCAGGGATTGAGCCCCGAATCACATGCGTGATTGGCGAGCGTTCTACCGTTAAGCCACCAGCGCCTAATAGTTTTTATCCCTACCCAGAATTTTCAAGTAAATAATCCATCGAAAGTAAATTCTATGTCAACACTCGATCTCCTACTACATGTTGTCTTCATTTTCTTCTTGAGGTATACAGCGGTAAGTTGATAGTCAATTAAAAATTTACGTGAGTTCATATTATGATCCAAGGACATAATTGGAAGATTAAAGCAACAAGGAAGAGGGAAAAGTTGGTGCATAATACCGGATGGAAATTAAGGTGACCCAGTAGTTTAGGCAGACAAGAATGTTCTGGGAGCTTGTAACAAAATTTCACGCCGAATAGAAATATTTTAGTCAGCTTATGGTATGTGCTGTTTTACTAATGGATATGAGTAATATATAGTATGATTTCTACTGCAAAGTAATAATAGCTTATATTTAAATGGTAAAACAAATGCATAAGAAACGAGAGACAAATGATTGTAATAGCTAAGATAATTGATTATCACCTATCGTGATGCACTTTGAGTCATGGATTGGACATGCATACCCGTATATCAGCGTGGACTGTTGGTCAAAGACTCCGTCCCGATTTCTTTAACTACAGCCTAGTCTGGTGCAGAATTCCTGAGCGATTCGATGTGGTGGATTGTGATTGAGTTGTGGCTTAGTGGGAATGTGGCACATTGGCTTAAATACTCGACTTTCAGTCAGTGGGTCACAAGTTTCAGTTTCGCTCCATCTACTTCAGCCTCAGCAACTGGTTACCATCATTAGCCCTCACACAAGTGTAGCTTAAAGCCCAGTACTGGGTAATTGAGATCTAATTGGTTAAGTAATTAATGAAGAACTACCTATCTGCAATAATGAATATTGATATCACATGTATTAAATTGACTGACTGAATGGTTAAGTCCTGCTTTTTTTAATCAAAGGTTATATTAATTTATTCAGATAAACATCCACTTGTTAGGTGGTTAGAGAAAGTCAGCACGAAGCATTGCATTGCATTGCGAGGGCGAGTTACCTAGCCTGGTGATTACATTTGCAAACTTGACCAGTAGAATTCAGTCAGTACTTAGAACAATACACATGGTTGATAAATTATAGGTAGACATCATTGCACGTTATGATATAGTTTCACTGAATGATCTGTCTAGTAAATGAACTAATATGGGGTAGGATTCTGCAATACACGAACTCTTTTCTACACTTGGATTGGTACTACCTAACACATATTTACATACATGTCATTTTTTAAATATTATTTTATACATTCACTTGTCTTGTTGATTCACAAAAGAAAAGATTAGCAAAACAGGAAAAAAAACCACATGTTCATTAAAAAAAATATCTTGGAATAATAACAATAATAACAACAACAATCAGAGTTAACAAGTTTGAAAATATCACTGTGATTACTATTAGCAACAGTCAACAAACAAACAAAACTTATCACTACTATCATTATTAGTGTTAACAGTAATAAGAAAAGTGCTGTCTGTCATCCAAATTAATATAATAAATAGGAATCTCTTAAGATTGACGTGTTTACCATGATAGACAATATCACATCAAGTGTAAAACATCTTTAATAATTCACTTATGTATCTAACGTGATTTATTGTCACCCACTCTTGTCTCTCTCTCTCTCTCCCTCTCATTACCACAACTATTCCCTGAGTTCATCTGTGTGAATGTGTGTGTGGATGCGTGTTTTGATTTCCACAGTCGAATCGAGAAGTTACTCAAGTGTGAACAGATTGAGCTGTCTTTTCCCCTTCTCTCTCTCTCTCTACTGTCTCACGTTCACACACATTCTCACATATGAAGCAGAATACGGTAGTCATAATTATAAATAAAGATAGTTAATCCGTTTTTATCTTAACAGTATTACTGTGGTAACTAGATTTGACTAAATCAGATAGTCGCGTGAACAGTTTTCATATAACAGATGTGTGTGTGTGTGTGCGTAGTGTATAGTGTATAAGACTAATCATCTTGAGACTTCTATTTTCTCCTCACTTGACTCTTTTTTCTTTCTCTTCTTAATATTATCATTATTATTATTAGCCCTCTAGTAAACTGAAG